TTTTAGTATCTCATACAGATTACCATGTCTGATAATATTAGAACTTCATTGCCTATCAGTTTTGCGCTGCCAGAAAGTAGTCCTATAAATTATGTCTTCCCACAGTAGACTGTCTGCAATGTGTTCTAAGCACATTTCAGTGTAACAATGGATCTTCATGCACTGAGTTTAATTTTGTTGTGCATGGTTTAAAGAAAAAAAAAAACTCCCACCTTGGCACTAACCTGTGCAGCCCACAGATGCGATGGAAAAACAGAAGCAGATGGGACACATCTGCTAGGTATAAACATTTCTCCATTGGTGTCATTATCAGATTTATTCATAATATGATTTTATGAAGACTACAAGAATTTATTTAAACTACATTTCAAACACTCAAATTCCTAACCATTTCTTATAGATAGGGATCAAAATATTCGTGATATAAATGGGAAATTCTCCTATGTTCAGGTAGGGATCAATATATTCATGATATAAACATGGAAACTTCTCCTATATGCAGATGTTAATTATGTCAGTTGGTCAGAACCTGATTCCTCTCACAAAGTGTTCAGTACACATCGTCACCTCACCTTCCTTCCAGACACCATGGTGAAATTAATGAGTGTGAAGCACCGGTAGAGACAGAGGGTTAGACTATTCCTAACCATGCCAGTTCCCTCTGTGACCCAGGTCAATCCTGACCCTCAAGCTCTTCATCTATAAAACAGACACAACAAGCAACCTGCAAAACTCCTTGACAAATGCCTATGACTGGGCTCATGTAGTATAAAACATGTAATGACACATTTACAGGTGACTATAATAAAAGCACTGAAGCCTCCAAGATTAAGGATGCATTACGAATTTTGAAATCAAAGGGAGATTCACATCACAGAAAGAAAAATGAAATATATTTCTTCTCATTAAGCTGTCTTCCAGCAACTCAGAATTATGTTAAGGACCCAAGTGGGTTTATGTGCAAAAATGCATTTTGCTACTGTAAAAGCATTACCATGTTGCAGGTTAAGTATTCTTTATCAGAAATACTTAGGAAAAGTATTTCAGATTGAAGAGTCCTTCTGATTTTGAATATATACATATATATAATTTATTAAACACAAAGTTCATTTACATTTCAGACATACTTGATACATATGACTTGAAGGTAATTTTATAAAACACTTTTAATAATTCTGTGTATGGAGAATACAAATCAGTGATAAAGCCCTTGAAGCCTCAGCACTATAAATAATTTTGTGAATGTTTAAATAGTTTAATGGTGTGGAATTTTCTATTTATGGTATTATATTATATTCTGATATTAACATATCAGAAGCTCAAGATTTGGGAACATTTGGGGTTTGGGGCTGAGGAGGCCTAGCCTTCCTTTCTTTAGAGTAATCTATGATTAGAGTTTTACATCTGTCTCTAATTCTTAAGGACTGGCCTGAGACCAAGGGCTGGGAGTGGTGGACAAGAGAGCAGGACATCTTTACCCTTGCTGGAAACCACTTAGATAATGAAGATCAATAAAACGCTCCTTGTAAGTAAAGGTCTTTGGTCTTCTATTAGGAGCTATTAATAAAATAAGCGCCCTTTCACAAAGTGACTACTCATCCAGGGCAAATAAATTAGAAGGTTTTCCAACATCACAATGGTTCACTAACCAAACAGCATACTCAGTGCAGGATAAGCTAAGATTCTCTTAAAATCCAAATGCATCTATAGTATCCTCCTCTTAACCTAGATTTGAGGTAAACTGCAGGACAACACACAGAGGGCCAAAAAGCCTGGAAAGTGGGGAAGGTAAAGAGTCAATAGATCTAGTGGAAATGAATTACCAACATCTATGCTCACAAATACTGGTTCTGTCCCCAATGATTCAACAAACACAGATCAAAATATTTGGGAAAAAGTAAGCCTACTCATTTAAAGGTATAGAATATTTTTCTTGTCATAATTTCCTAAATAATATAGAATAACAAATACTTCTGTTACATTTTATTAAGCATTATATGTCATTTAAAAATTACCTAAGTGAATAAGAGGATGTGCATAGTATAATATATACAAGTGCTATACAATTTTACAAAAGCCACCTGAGTACCTAAGAATTTGTAGCATCCACAGGGTTACTGGACCAGTCACCCAAGGATATTATGCTTGGCTTTTTCTCTCCCAATTTATAATATATGTTGTATTTCACTTCAGGCATTTGATTTACTTGATGCCAAGATCAGTTAAATGAGAACTTATAAATAGGCAAAACATTCTTTAAAAACTTCCGTGGAGGCAGGGTTGAAAATTCTATATCCAAATAAAACAAAATATCCAACTGTAATAAGAAACAATTGAAGATTACCAACCCTAAATAAATGTTCAACTTTAAGCAATATTATTTCAAATTCAGAACATCTACCAAAACAAATTTTTAAAAAAGGACAAACATCTTCTCAACATGTAGTAAACTCTGAGGTATATTTCAGATGAATATATGAATAGAGAGTTTACATTACCTAAATGCCAAATAGTCATACAAACAAAAACAGATTTCTCCATAAAAATTAAATTTTCTGGACTGGGAAGGTGGCTCAGTGGTAGAGCGCTTTCCTTGCATGCTCGAGGCCCTGGGTTCGATTCCTCAGCACCACATAAGCAAAAAGAAAAAAGCTGGAAGTGGCACTGTGGCTCAAGTGGTAGAACACTAGCCTTGAGCTGAAGAGCTGTGGGACAGCGCCCAGGCCCAGAGTTCAGGCCCCACGACCAGACCCCCCAAAAAATTAAATTTTCTAAAAAAGAACACTAAAGATAAATAGTTTCACTTTTTAAAAGTAGTTAATTCTGTATAGGGAAAGTAATTAAAAAGAAACACTCTGTTTTATCCTTCATCATCAGATGGTCAATCTGAATAGCACTTATACATTCACTATCTGAAAAATAATTAATTGATCCCTAACATCAGGAATTTAAAATAACTGAAAAGTAGAATCAAATGGGGGAAAATGTTCAGTACTGACAAAAAAAGTCTTAAAGTAATGATTAAAAACTTTTAGAAAAAAAGAAGGAAAAGTAAAATTAGACTTAAAACATATAGTTTCAGTTTTTTAAATGAACTCCTCTTTCCTATCTCAAACAGGGTTAGGATATTAGAGTGACATCAGGCAAAGCGTGAGACACCCAGTGTGAAGGACAAACCATATTCAAGAGGACTCCTCTCCACAACAGAGCCCTAGCTGACAATCCACTAAGTACAATTAGCTGTCCCCCGTTTCCTCAGAAACACAGCAATAAATAGAATACTTTTTTAGTAATAATTATAAAGAACAAAGAATTTAAAAGTTAGTATCTTATAATGTAACATATCACAATCATCATGTCACACCAGATAAAAGTGTGATGAGACAGAGAGGTGACAGATGTCAAGAAAAAGCATGGGGCAGGGAATCCTGAGGTGGTGTGGAATAGTATGTGCAGAAGGGCTGAAATATGAAGATGAATACAGTGCAGTACCACAGTCAATCTCTTAAGTAATAAAATAACTGTGTTTAAAAGCCTAGGTTGTGTTCAGCAGTACAGCTCAGGCCAAACTTGAATAAGGGCTAAGAAACAGGAGTGGAGGAGATAGGAGGTAGAGAGAAGGTATGGGAGAAGAGAGGAGAGGTTCATGTAACTGTCATGTAAAGTATACAGGATGAAAAAACTGTACAACAATTCACTCAAGTTGTATTAAAATTACGTGCACTAAAAAACGGGTTAGGGGCAGGAAGGTGGCTCAGTGGTAGAGCGCTTGCCTTGCATTCATGAGGGCCTGGGTTCGATTCCTCAGCACCACATAAGCAAAAAGAAAAAAGCCAGAAGTGGCACTGTGGCTCAAGTGGTAGAGTGCTAGTCTTGAGCTGAAGAGCTGAGGGACAGCGCCCAGGCCCAGAGTTCAGGCCCCAGGACTGACCAAAAATAAATAAATAAATAAATGAATAAATAAATAAATAAATAAAATAACCTTATGTGCATCTAACCATAAAAATTAATATTTATTGAAATGTCCAGGAAATGGAAATAAGAGGTTTTTTTCCTTTGTTGCTGCTTTTGTTTTCCTTTATGTCTTTTTCTTTTGTCCCTCTGTCTTTAGGAGGGCAAAGGGGGACACAGAAGTAGAGAACAAAAGGTGAAAAATGTAGTAGTAGTACTGACTAGACATTACATTGAAAAATGAACTATACAGCTTGTGGGTGGGGACAAAGGGGAAAGACAAGGAGAGAGGGAAGGGGTGATATTTTTCAAAAAGAAATGTACTCTTTATCTGTCTTACATAACTGTAACCCCTTTGTATGTCACCTTTATAATAACAATAAAATGCATGAAAAACATTTACTGTATACTTTAAAATTTGAAATTGAAAGATGTGTTACTCATTTTTACATTAAAGTGAATTGCTTGGAACTCCAAGTTATATAAAGGCACATTGCCGGGCACTGGTGTCTCATGCCTGTAATCCTAGCTACTCAGGAGGCTGAGATCTGAGGATCACGGTTCAAAGCCAGCCCAGGCAGGAAAGTCCTTGAAACTCTTATCTCCAATAAACCAGAAAAACAGAAGTGGTGCTGTAGCTCATGTGGTAGAGTGCTAGCCTTGAGATGAAGAGCTAAGGGACAGCGCCCAGGCCCAGAGTTCAAGCCCTATGACCGATAAATAAATAAATAAATAAATAAAGGCATATGTGTGCATGTTCTTGTATCTGAATAAAGTGAGAAGCTCTAGATATTTTTTTAAGGATAAAAGGGGAAAGGTGTTGTAATTTGGATATTTGGATTTAATAGTGAAAAGTAATTTTTCCACAAAATCTGCCAAAAGAAATTAAGTGAAAACAAAGGGATAAAAGGCGTTCAGAAAATATTTGAGGAGGGAAATGAGTCCCTTATTATGCAGAACCCCTAGGAGTCTGGCAAGTCCTACAACATGTCTCAGGATCCCCTCTCCAGGGTGATTCAGCTTAAAGCTAGAGTTGTGGTGTACTATACCTGTAGCCAAAGCCTGTCGCTTGCCACAGTCCTGCCGATGGCACTGCACTGAAAGGTGGCAAACTGGCCAGCATTCACCTCCACATTCTGAATCCGCAGGAAATGGGGAGTTCTGGCTACATGAAGAAAAGAAATCAAGGTATTAAAAGTGGAGATCTGAACTAACAGGTATCTTTTTCAATCTACCTGCAATTTGGGACCTTTCCAATTTGTGTTCATCATAGGAGAAAATAATGCTCTTGCTTATATAAGCTTTAATGATTTCACTATAAATTGTGCAAGATATCATGGAAGGTTTGGGATATGTGCTTTGAAAAACAAGAAAACAGCAGTCTCAGATATACTAAAAGAGAAGATATCTTATTGCTCCTGCTGTGCAAATTATCATAGCTCAGCAGTCTTCTTGTAATAACACATCTGTATTAATAAAGATTATACTGAAGCCTAATTGATGTTTTGAACAAAAACATATTAGATATTTATACTAGCAACATGAAAAGAACAGTAAGAAGTTAAGTGATGTTGTCAAGGAAACTTTGAAAACCAAACACAGAGCTGTGCATAATACATATTTTAATACAACTAATTGGTATGCAACATTACATGTGTAATATTTCCCAGCTACCAAAAATACTATCCCTATAGACACACCATGACGGCCTTAGCCCAGTAATTTATGCTGCATCTTATTTTTAATTCAAGAAGAAAGAATGATTCCAGATGCTAAGAAGCATTGTCTCATAATGTACATTGTCTATAAGAAACAGCTGTTTCAATAAAGGATAATTCTATTTGATGTGAGAGGCACATATCCATTTCTACCATGCATGAAAAACTGGTATCCAGGAGCGAGAATGACAAGTCAGGACTTAAATGCTGTGCAACTTCTTCTCGGAAACCTTCCTGACATCATAATGATAGAGTGAAAGTCAGAAAGAAAAAGGAAGAGAATAACCTTTTCTGATAGGGACAGATAAGGCAGGATAATAATGAGAATAGATGTTATGCTTTGCAGTTTTCTTTTATTGCCAATGGATATTCAGGCTATGTATAGGTACTTTCAAAGAATAGCACCCTATCAGTGATTATAAACTAGCATATATATGAATGTGAGTAGAAATTCACTAGAAATGCAAGTGGGTTACAGCCACAGGACGAAAAGATGCACTAAAAATCAATAAAATGTAGGAAAACCCCATTTCTAGTTTGGAGGCCACAAATAACTCTTATGTATTCATGATACTTAGCATGTAAAATGTTCTAAATGGCTTCTAACAAAGGAGTAATACAGACCTTTGATTCTTAATATTAATTTATTAACATGCAATTCTGTGGGCTCTATTTCACTGATTTAAATAAGTTACTCTTTGCTCAAACATAACAATAATTATGTGTTTCTTTCTTTTTTTTTTTTTTTGCTGGTAGTGGGACCTGAACTCTGGGCCTGGGCGCTCTTCAGCTCAAGGATAGCACTCTACCACTTGAGCCACAGCACTACTTCCAGCTTTTTCTGCTTCTGTGATGCTGAGGAATCAAACCCAGGGCCTCATGCATGCAAGGCAACCACTCTAACACTGAGCCACCTTCCCAGCCCCAATTATGTGTTTCTTTAAAAATCTCTGTAAAGACCCAAGTTTAAGGCCCATGACTGGCCAAAACAAAACAAAACAAAAAACTCTCTCTATAAAAACCCCTAGGTCAAATTTCTTTTCTACCTTTCATTCCTGAGAAACTAGAAGCCTATTATTTCCTAGAAAATAGAAAAAAATAGCATTTATGGAATACGTATGTGCCCCAGACTCTCCCTACAAACCCAATGGTCACAGCTATGAGGTAAGTATTTTTCCCATTTTTTCGATGGAGAACTTGTGGTTTCTAGGCTAGTTAAGTGTTAGAAGGAGAATGGACTCTTGGGTTCCAAAGTCCAGGTAAAAGCCACTGTATCACATTGCCTCTCTTGCTTTCCCTTCACTTCTGTCATTTCTAATGATCCTAATCCAGCTTAGATGACTATCTGTCTGCCTGTTGGAATTATGACTTTTTTCAAGACCCTACTTCAAGACTACTCCTTCCATGAAGTTTCTACATATTCTCTCACCTTGTCTTTACTATGGGGGAGAGAGAGAGAGAGAGAGAATATGTATTTTTATACCTGGATCACAGCTAAAACTTTCAGAATAAAAGCTGTAAGATTCCCATGTGTATCTGACTTTGTATTTTAAGCAGACATGTACCATAGATATTATTTATATATGATATTTCCCTACTTCTTTATCACTACATGGGGTATTATTAAATTAATAAAGGAATAAATTCTGTTTCAATTAATTAGAGCAAAATCTGTGCTTATGCAAATTGAATATCCCTAATATTCTCAAAATACACTGATCAAGATGGCATTGTATTCACAAAATGCTTTGCTATAAGCAAAAAAAAAATTAAACTACACCAGTTTTTTTAAAAGAAGAACCCAAATGTTAAATAAATCTTTAATAAATAAAAGAGTTGGTAAATAAGACTGGATAACTTAGAGATGGATGGGTGGACAAATGGATGAACAGACAGAAGGAGAGAGAGAGAGAGAGCAAGAGCTGTCTTATGAGTTCTTAGCATTGAGTATGATGTAGCATATGTTTGTATTCTACTTGAGTTTACTAGTCAAATATACTAATGTTTTATTTGCTTGATGTTTAAGTTAATGACTTTAATAAAATTCAGACATTTTGACAAGTTATTTAAATAATAATTGTTTTAAAATAAATTTATCTAAAAAATAGCTTCCAAATATTTTATGATAACTTGCAGCTAATACAATGTTAAGCCTCAGATATTCCTAAAATTTCTAGATACTGTCTAAGTCAAATAAAATCTGATTTAAGCTTATATATTGTTGGTTTCTTCTTCTTACAAAGAAACTAAGAATATATGGATCTGTTGAAAAGAAGTATGTTATTTTGCCATATTAATTTTTCTTTTGCTATAAAGAAGCATATATATTTACAAGATTTGAAGATGATACATTCACAAAACTTGCTAATCCTCTACAGAATGCTGGAATATGAAAACAGTTCACAATTGTTTATACATTAGTTTTCTCAGTAAAATAAGAGTTGCTAATGATTTAAAAGTATAACTGAAAGATGACATTTTCTCTTCTTTCAAAAATGATAAAATATCAATCTTGAACTGATTTGGATATTTCTCATAGGGCACTGAAAAAAATCTTAAAGGTTTGTTATTTATCTTTGTAGAAAGATAGACATCAAAGAAAATAGTAATAATTCACTATATTTGATGTGTTGACTGACATAAAAAGCATCATCTATTAAGAAGAGTAGTTTAACCTCTCTTAGGTTATATTTGCATGATTTAATAGTATTAACATAAATATTTCAAGAGTCATAAAATGATAATTCTCTAGCTGTTAATAAAGAAAAATGGCATGCTGTTAGTCATAATTCCAGTTATTATTTAAAATGTTGTATTTTAATGCAATAAAAATTTCCTCATTATACTTTGAGGCTATTATAACTAGAGTTGTTTTCTTAATTTTCTTTCAGGATTATTGTTAGTGCATAAAACACAACTGTCAGGGAAAATGTGGGAATGCACTTAGACACACAGAGGTGGCATTGAGTATTTTCAAGCAAAAATATTTTATCTAAATAATATGCAAATTAAATCTTAGATAAACTTCCTTTATTGAACAGGGCCTCTGCAAAATATAGTTTCCATTCAATCCTCTTAAGGAGCTTTCTGCCAATTCAGCCTATTCCTGTAACAATAGCCCAATAGAGCTCTATATGCCCTAAAGTCAATTCCACCCCCTTATTTCTGTTACCTTTGGTGGGTAAATATTTTTCTCTAGTTACAAAGAAAGGTTGCCATTACTGAACACACCACAATACATGTGGTGGGAAAAAGCAACTTTGTCTTTTTTCCCATTAGGCTGCCAGCTGATTTGCAGCCCCCAAATTCAGACTCTAAGACTGAATACAATATCAAGGCAGATCCTGGATCCCCTTATTGTGTTTCTGTGCGTTAAAAGCTTAGACTATGGTTTACACTCAATATTGTAAGTTGCCTCAATTAATGCTGTCTTTTCCAATCTCCCCAAATCCTAATTTTGTTCATCTCTCTCATTACAGGTCACTAAAATTGAATCTCCAAAGCAAGATGCTTTACACATCCACCCACTGTTCAACATAATTTACTGCTAGGGTTTAGATATGGTTCAAGTGCATTCAGGTTATGGAACATTTTCTTCTGGACAACTGTGATGGGAGGTGGTGTAGAACATTTAAGAGTTGGTGCCTAGCTGGGAACCAATGGTTCATGTTTACAATCCTAGCTAAATAGAATGCTGAGAACTGAGATCCCATTTTGAAGCCATTCCAGGCAGACAAAATTTTGAGACTCTTGTGTCCAAGTAAAAAGCCTGAATTAGAGGCAGAGAGCCATGGGCTAAAACAACCAAGGAAGAATGTGAGGTCCTGAGTTTAAGCCCCAATATCAACATATGCAGGGAGGGGGGAGAGGAAGGGGGGAGAGGGAGGAAGGGAGGAGACCTAAAGGGACATTAAATTTTTTTAAATTATTTTATTGTCAAAGTGATGTCCAGAGGGGTTACAGTTACACACATAAAGTAATAAGTACATTTCTTGTTAAACTTGTTACCCCTTCCCTCATTTTTCTCCTACTTTCCCTCACCCCTCCTACTTTACCCAACTCTAAGTTGTACAGATCATTTCCAGCATATTGTCTTGTGTATATCAATGGTGCATGGTTCTTTATCTCACCATTCTGTTGTTCCCCTTCCCTTTTTAAAGGGAAGTTTTTAGGTCATCAACAGAAAAAACCCTCCAAAAAACTTGAAACCTATAGAGAAAACATATAGAATAATCTAAAACTTGGCTTGGAAATTAATCTGTAGCATAAAGACACTAACAGTGAATTCAGGAATGACCACAGATATTATCAACTATACCTGTAGGAACTGAAGAAGGAGATGGAAAACCAAATCCATATAAGTGAAAACATGGTAGAAATAGGGTAGACACAGAAAAAGCTATAGTAGACTGGGTAAGGTGATGCTTGCTGGTAATCCCAACACTTG